CCCTCCCTCCCTCCCTCCCTCTCTCTCTCTCACTCTCTCTCTCTCTGCGACCATTTTAAAAAGACGAGGGGAAAACTAGGAAGAGGTTGTTGGTACAGATTCTCTCACAGGTGGCTATTGGAGAAGGCTCCACCGTACTCAGTTTATGTTAACACATCTTGCATCAGCCGGAATATTTATTTATTTATTCATTTACATCGGTTAAATAAAAACCTAAGTTTAAATAAACCGTTATATGAGACGCATCGCAGTGAAATCAGGCGCTCATCAAAATAATGAAATCAAAGAAACATGCATTTTTCTGCTGGTTTGGCAATTTTTATCAAATTGTTGGTTTATGGCTCAACACCTTTTTATCTCCATTTCAAAATACATTTCTCTGTTAATATTTCTGAAAAATGTTCATCAAAGGCACAAAAATGTAAACATTCAATTACCAAGGACTCTCAAACTATGGGAGTCACCAAGCTTTGGAGGCCATTTTCTCACCAATTTTAACGATGAAACCAGGCGACCAAAATCTCCTTCAGTCACTTATATCTTGACTTCTATTCAAGAAAGATGGGTATTTTTTTTACAAATTTAAAGCAAGGCAAATGAATAAGCTTTTAGTTGATACCAATAAATCAAGATGCCAAAATATTGACGAGCGCCTGATTCCACCATGTTGTGACACATATTTTAAAAAGACAAGAGAAAAAGTGTGAAATGGTCATTTGTACAGGTTATTGTCTCTAACAGGCGGTCATTGGAGCAGGTTGCACTGTACTCAGTTTATCTTAACACTAGCTTGCATCAGCCCCATTATTCATTTACATCAGGTATACAACAGCTATGTCTGAATAAACCATTATATATATATATATATATAATTCTTAACTGTATATGTAGTTATGCATAAAAGCAAACAAACCGTCATCCGAGTCTCCTTCCCCACTCATTTCTTCCTCCTCATCGCTTTTTTCATCGCTGCCGGAATCACTACCATCATCATCATCACTGTCATTATCATCATCGTCCTCACTGTCATTAGAGTCCCTCCTTTTGTTTGCAGGTCGACTTGCTTTCCCAAGTTTCTCCTTTCTGGCTTTCTCTTGATTCTTTCTCTTCTTTTTCAGGCTGTCTGAAACCACCTTGACCTCAGAGAGCAAATCTGATCCACTCTGAATCAAAGTGGTGGCACATCTGGGTAAAAAAATGAATAAATAAAATATTCATAAACATTATAATCATTCTAATTTTTAATGCTGTAAGTCTAGGAGACTAAGGCCCACTGTGGAAACAGGCCTCTGTGTAGGATGTTTACTCCTCTCAGATAGTTTTAGTTTTAGTAAGTGTTTTACGGCACTTGCAACACAATAAGGTCATATAAGTGCCGAAGATTAGAAGTGTTACAAGAGAGTAACAAACACAAAAAAGAAGGAGGGGAGGTAAAGACGATAGATGTTTGATAGGAAAGAAGAAGCAAACCACACCAGAGCACCGGTCAACCACCCACCTCCTCTCAGAGAAAAATTTGGAATGGCGTAGACTGCGACTGCAAGCATGCTTGAGGCGGTTATTCTCATTACTTGTTTTCAATTTTTTTTCTTTTCAGGGGAGGGGGAAAGAGGGGGGAGGCTAGCTCTCCCTGGTTTTTGGCAAAGAAATGATTAACTCTGATAGCTTTTTGCTAACCCTGTAAAGAAGGGTTAAACCATTACAACAGTAACAACAACAACGCTACAGAGGCCCGGTGGCGGCATCTCTTTGGGGAGAATTCAGTTTCAGGGAGGTTGGACTGCCTCACCCGCTACCCAAGAGAGGCAGTGGCTCTGGCGAAGAGCACGCTCTTCGGGGATCCAAACAATTCGGAAGGATAAGCTCCCCCCCCTCCCACACAGAGACACACAACAACAACAGCAACAGCAGCAGCAACAACAACAAGAGTAACAGCAGCAGCAACAACAACAACAACAACAGTAGCAAGAGCAAAAACAACAATAACAACAACGAAAATATGTTTCGTTTTAATAGAGGTTTTACGGCGCTTGCAACTGCATAAGGTCATATGAGCGCCACAAGATTAGTGTTACAAGAGAGTAACAAACATAAAAAAGAAGAAGGGGAGATGAGGACGATAGATGTTTGATAGGACAGAAGGAGCAAACCACACCAGAGCACCTGCCAACCACTCACAACGAAAACATACATACTCTCACAACAGTACAAGAAGACACAGACAAAAAGTGACATACCCGTCGTGTTTGTTGAGAATTGCCAGAGCTAAGGGCGTGTTCCCATCTCTGTCTTCAACGTTGAAGTCGGCTCCAATCTTTGGAGAGATTTTAAAAAACTTCTCTTTGAGCAAACAGCTGGGCCCCACACCCACTAACGACTACCATGTCTCACATCCATACAACAAGATCTTGTTTTGCTTTATTCAGAACAAGATATCCTCTGGTCCTCCCAATCCTGAACAATGATGTGCAAGCTTCCTATTATGCCTTTCTGAAGAAGGACTTACTTTCAGCTCCTGTTCTTCCATCCCTGTTAGTCATATTTATATTCCCAAGATAGTAGAAGGATTCAATGTCAATGTCTTCTAATGTATAACTGCTCTTTTTTTGGTGTATCTATCTTTTGGAACTTTGACTTCCCGGGGAATCCGCAATTCAACATAATCCGATAAGCTGTTTAAATCTGAAACCTTTAGTTATATATTTATTCATTTATTCGTTTATTATTTATTTATTTATTTATTTATTTATTTATTTATTTATTTATCCGAAGGGGACATTTGATTATTTGCAGTTGTTTTCTAAAAG